AGATATTTGTGCTGGGCATAGAATTTTAGATTGACTTTTGTTTTCTGTAATTCTAGCTCTACCTTCTGTCCCTTGGGCAGTTTTTGTTTTTGTTTTTGTTTTTGTTTTTGTTTTTGTTTTTGTTTTTGTTTTACACACAGACTGATTTCCTACCCTGTGAAAACCCTTATCTTCAACCACTGAATGGGAGTAAGGTGCTGCGCAAACACACGTGCACCAGCTTGGAGTCATCTCTCCCTTTTCCTAAGGGTGGTACAGAAGGGTGAATAGAGAGCCCCTTGTCAGGAAGGATGTGTGAGCCTCCAGAAGAGGCATGGCTCCTCCCTCTGTAGGGTCCCTTTGTACTCTTGACCAGTTTGTGTTATTCTTGAGTGTCTGTACTGAACTGAGAGGCAAATTTACCTCTTGCCCCAGGGCATAGATTGGATGGTAAGGTCTAGGCCAGTGACGTTGAACCTTCTGGAGACCAAGTGCCAGACTGCGACCCCAGACCTATTGACTTAGAGCAAAGCACTAATACTGCAGTTACACTGAAATACTGAGTGTTATCATAGAAAAAAAATAACTCACGTATTAACATCTTTTGTCTTAAAAAAAAACAAAACGCAATAACGCATGTCCTATATGTTCCCCACCTCTGTTCTAGGCAAAGGTGGTGATGGTATGTATTGCAGTCGTTTGAATTGAGGTGGGTTAGCCAAATAGTGATAAAGAACTGAAGCACAGTGGACAAACAGGGAAAGAAAAGTAATGGAGTGCTTGGCTGTGCCAGCCCCAGCATCTACTTTCTTCTGTTTTATGTAATAGAACCCTAACTTAGCTGGGCACACTGTTGCTCAGTGGGAAAAAAAGAAAAGATTGCATTTTTCCATTTCTTTTTATAGCTAGGTGTGGCTGTAGCATTACATTTGAACTAGTAAAATGAAAGTTGAGGCGTTGTGTGCAGATTCCAGAAAGTGTTATTAAAAGGATTGAGCCCTATTTCACTTTTTTACTGGCTGTTAAGTGCATGTGACATCCAGAGCTCACAAAGCCAGTCTTGGACCTTAAAGCAGAAAGCACGCATTAAAGTCACCAACGTGAAAAGAGCCCCTGACTCTGAGCTGCTATCAGCTGGGCTGACTTCAGCTTGGCTTCTCTTTTGTGAGAACACAATCAATTTCTATCTTGTGCAGCTCATTGGTTTTGTCTCTTGTCTGCTTCTGGACTTGTTCTATGTGCATCTGAACCAAATTCTGACTAATGAAGGCAACCTGACAAGTGTTTATCTAGAAGACTGAGAAAATGGTGATACACTTGGAAAAGTAAGGGAAGACACAGAAGAAACTAACAGGTTAGGGGCTTCCAGAGGTCCTCTAATGTAGTTCTGTACCAATGCAAATCTTTAATTAAATGTTTTAAAATGATTATAAAAGCATTAAAAGCTGTATTTGAATCTTGTTGTTTTAGGCATAAGAAGCTCTGATCTCATGCACTAATTGCTTTAGGAAGTTGATGATGTAGCCTTAGATCATGATGGAGGTCTGAGATATCAAGGCTCCCTCTGCCATGCTCCTGTTTGTTAAGGGAGATATAGGTGTGAGCTACATTCTTGAATTATAAAGGGACTTTTGGGTTTGAAATCAAATCCTCAAAAGAAATGAAATATAGTATGCAGGTGTGCATATTTATGAAATGCTCCTTTCTGTGGGTTAGATCTGCAGCCTTGTTCACTAATAGCTAAGTAACTTCTGTTATGTACTTTTGATATTACCTGTCAGAATTCCTGTTGTGCCTAAGAAAAATTACATTTACCCTTTTGCTTTATTGACAAAATTGTCAAATGCCAGTAGTTTTGAAACATGGATTTCACTATGCTTTTATTTTTCAACATAGTCAAAGAATGTTTAGAATGTGTGCATATACACATAACACCTGTTTTTGTTTTAACTATTATTTTCTGCCTCTGATCTTTCTCCTTTTTAACAACTATGATGGATTTGCGGTGGTGGTTTTAAGCTTGAAGACATCAAGAAGCACTTTAGAATGTCTTAAGCAAGCTTGTTTTTTCTTATTGTGTCTGATATTGACAAAAGGCACCCCCCTTTGTGTTCCCCACTGCCATCCCTGAGCACCTGAGTGTGCCTCTTTTTATGCTTTTGAGATGTGTCTCTTCTTGGTACAATACTGGCAAACACATTGGAATTTGAATGAGCCATGCAGTCTTTCATCATGATATCTGTGGGTGGGAAAGGAAACTGGGGGGCAGATTCCCAGCTTGAGCCCATGTAATGCATCCTGGGGAGCCGTGGTCAGAACTTGGGTAACTTTGAGGAGGGAGGTAAGTTAATAGCAGAGGATACTGCCAGAAGCAAGCACATATAAAAAAAGAAAAGAGATGGAAACAGTAAGACCATTGATAATAAAACACAGGAGGGAACAGGATTTGGGGCCTCTATGGAAATTCTGAGAGGCCAGGAGCCCTAAAAGCTGTGATTGCTTTATTTTTCCTTTGATGTAACAGTGTTCAAATGTAAGAGCAAGGCACATGCTGGTATCAGTGTAGAAACTCACCATATTATATCATGTAGGGTTTTTTTTTTTTTTTTTTAGATACTTGTATTATACTGTAGGGCAGTGTCAGATACACAGAGCCTTTTACTCCAAAACTGTCTCAGTGAAGACAAAGGGAAGCATACTTGAAACTAAATTGACAGCTTTATGGCTGCAAAGATAAATATAACACTTTTCAAGTAGTTAATTCATGAATAACCAATGAACCAGCAAAGGACAAAAAGTGACATATGGCAGCCTGGTGTAGATTAAGTGTGATTGACACATTCCCCTTCTTACCTTTTTCCTTTCTCTAATCTAGTGAAAGAAACAAAGCTAAGCTCATGTAGTCATGACACCGCACAGCTGGAAAATTTTACTTAGGCAAAGGGTAAACAGAGTTTATTCGTTTTTTTAATAGTGTAAAGTTGTTTGTGTTAATTGAAGTTTTACTGAAAATGAAAATTTGGCTTGACTTCCTGAAATAAAGTTAGACTGATAAAGCAATTTTTGTTTTATAAAATTAGTATTAAATCTGTATTTCCAAATAAGTAATACTTAGCCAGTTTATTTTGTCAGAATGTCTGTTAATGAACTACAAATGTATTATATTTGTCCTGAAGGAGAAAGATTGGATTTATTGTTTTTAACAAATAATTAGCAATTCATTGAAGATTTTCAAGTAATATTAAGGTTTTTAGAACAGTATACTAACGGGAAGGAGTACTGTATTTGCCCACAACCCAAATGATAACTCTTCCATGTTAAAACATCATCCTCCTTTGGTGGTTGGTCAAGGCTGAGGTGTTCAATCTCCTGAGCCACTTTGCAGCCTTGTGCTTCTCTCTGTCTTTGTCTCAGGATCCTGACTGAAAGATTTGACATTAAGAGGCTCCTCATAGCCAGATTCTTACCTCTCTCAGTGCCACTTTAGTTTTTTCAGACCTTTGAAATTGGCAGCAGAATTAGTGGTCAGGTTTGATTACATGTTCAAGACAGAGAGTTAATATTTGCTTTAAATGGCATACCCAGCATTTCTTCTCATCTTCACTCCATCTCCTTCCACAAAAAAGGATTCTGTAAACCTGCTCATGGAAGTACAGCTTCCTATCTGAATGCTAAAATTTTGTGTTTTTATTTTGAGTTACATGGTATTTGTGTTTTGGATATTTTAATGAGAGTTTAGGAGTCGGGGCCAGATTTGGGTTGGGTCTGTAAGATTAAATGGGAAAGGATGGTATGATGTCTGAAAGTCAAGGCTATGAAAGTTGGATGTCCATAGCACAAGCTTTGTTCTTGCCTATGAAACATTTACAATGATGTTTGTGATGGAAATGACCAGCACAGGTAAGTAGCAGTCCTGATGGAGAGGCTGTAAGAGAACACATTTTATCTTTTTGGTGGAATAGATTAGCGAATCCTCTTACTGTGAGGAAGCTTGGTAGGTTGCACAAGGAGATGAATGTGAAGGAAATATAGCCTAAATAGAAGTTTCATTACAACTCAGTCTCTGTCCCTGTTGTCCCTTTGTCCATTCCACATTCCAAATGGTATTGCAGGATACTCAGAGCTTTTAGTACAGGTCAAAAGCATGATTGGCCTGGCACAGTGATGCATGCCTATAATGCCAGCATTTGAGAGGCTGAGGCAGGAGGATCACTGTGAATTTGAGGTCAGTCTGGGCTACAAAGGACAGCCTGAACTGCATAGTGAAACCTGTCTCAAAGAGAAAAACAAAACAAAAAACCATGGTTGTTACACAGTATAAAGAGCACTGAGTTTTGAATGAGCAGTCTAGCATGCTAGTTAAGAGCATGCACTGTGACTCTCTGTTAGATGGTGACATACTGTTTTTCAAGAATGGCTGCCTAGCTGGCCAAATAGCTCAGCAGATTAAGCAGGCACAGGGGTCAGGGGTTCAATCCCCGGGCCTGCCATGCTGGCCCCACCCCCGGGGTGCACTGAGATGGCAGTGCAGACTGGACATGGTGGTGCACACCTGTAATCCCAGCTCTTGGGAGGCTGTAAACATGCAGATCACTATGAGTCTGATGTAGTAGTGAGACCCTGAACACCCTGTAGACCCTTCACTAAAATACAGAAAAAAAGTAAAACAAAATTGGGCCAGGGAGATGGCTCAGTAGAATAATGCTTGCCTGGCAAGCGCAAGGGCCTGAGTTCAATCCTTGGTACTGCAAAAAAAAAAAAAAAAAAAAAGAATGGCTGCTTGCCTTTATCATCTATGACCTTGAAACTGTTCCATCTAGAGGATGAATTTCCATCCCTTCTTCTTGAGTCTGCCCAAGCTCACAACTCATTTATGACCAATAAGATGTGAAAGTACTGGGTGATGACTGACGTGAGACCAGAAGAGGCAGGGTAGCCCGCCTTGTTTGCTGAGACACTTGCTTCTGGATCCATCTGTGGCCGTATAAGGTGTCCTGTTCCAAAGCTACTGTGTTATGAAGAAAGCCCAGACTACTGAGAGGCCATCTGTAGGTCCTTCAGGTGACAGCTCCAGTGGCCATTCTGGCAGAAAGTAGCATAGTAGCAGCAGGAGTCACATGTACAGGTGAAGATTGCTCAGGATGATTCCTGCCCCCAGCTGTGGCATCATCCCAGGTTGTCGGTCTCCTCAGTTGTGACCTCAGATGTTGTACATTGTCTTCTTTCTAATGTCCTGACCCATGGAATCCTTGAATATGTTGATTTAAGTCACTGCATTTTGATTTAATTTGTTATGTAGAAATAGTAACTTGGGGGAAATGTTTATTTTTTCTATTTTTGAATTTGTCCATTTTCTTGATGTTGAATTGTAGGGGGTTTTTAGAGTCTGTATATTATATTAACCCAGTGACAGAAATGTGATTTGAAAATATCCCACCCCCCAATTTTGTGTTGCTTTTCACTCTGTTAGTGTTCTTTCATGCACAGTTTTATATTTTGATTTGGTTTCATAACCAGGCACCCGCTATCAGGTCCAGTGTTGTGGAGCTTCACTTCTATTTACTTCTAAGATTTTTTTTTTTTTAGGCTCTTATTTTTGTATTTTTGATCCATTTGAGTTTGTTTTTGTATATGTTGTGAGGTAAGAGTCCCACTTCATTCTTTTGTGTGTGGGTCTTTAGCCTTCTGAACATAGTTTGTTGATTTCCTCCTTTAATTTTGAATTGATAATTCTTTACTGCTTTTTTTTTTTTTTTTTTTTTTTTTTTTATTGGGGATTAAACTCAGGCCCTTGCGCTTGCCAGGGAAGCGCCTACTCTACTGAGCCATCTCCCAGGCCCCACCTGCATTATTTTTCAAAAGGTATGCTTGAAAAGATGCTTTAAAGTACTGTATATAGCTTCAGTTATTCTTAGCAGGACAGTTGATCTCTAAAGCTTATTTGCTTTTATTTGTAAGAGGAAATTTCATTTAAGTTTTAAATGAATTGGATAAGAGCAGATGTTGTGTCCTAAATCATATAAAACATATGCAGGGAAGTAGCTTCTAGTCAGTATTCTTAGCTTTTAAATGCCATTTGTCTGGCTGCAGTTTTCATGGGAATAAGGTACAGCTCACCAGTTCTTTTTTCTTTTCTTGTCTGACTCAGTAGTTAAGTTTTATATTAGACTATAAATCTTACTAAGTGGCTGGTTGAAAAACAAAGATACACTTTTCTGTGAAAGACATGGAGATCAATACTTTCATTCAAACAGTACAAGTGAGTCACTGATTGACATCCTGGTTTTTCTGGACTTCAATTCAGGATTCTTTGATAAGAATTTTCATATGAGTTTGCTTGAACTGTTTGTAGCACTTTTTTTCCTTTGAAATGCAATCTTTCTGTATGTGACAAACATTATCTCCCTGCCATTCAGAGCAGAGAGAAGGTGGTCCTAAAGTCTTTAGATAGTAATTTGTTACATCTTAAAGGTGAATTAAAGTTTGTAATTAATTTATTTTATAATTTACATCTAATCTTGAAGTAGTTGTACCGAACTGGGGAAAAAATGATGGTGTCGACAGTGAGTGTATTGTTTACTCTGTATTCTGGCAAGTGTCTGTGATTATAATTGCTATCTGTCCTGTGGACAGGGAAGGAAAGTAAGACTGTGATGGGCTATCCCTATACTGGGGATTTCAAAGAACACAAAATGTAGTGTCTGTTGACTGACCATTCCCCTTTAAAATTACCCTGAAGCAGATAAAAATGGAAACAAACCTTTTGTAAATGAGGAGTGTAAGGGAATAGGAAAAATAAAAGAATCAAGTTATAACATGTATGGGTACAAGTTTGCTATGGTGAATGTGATCATTATGCATATCTGAAATGTACCAATGTGGGGATGGGAAGATAGCTCAGTAGAATAAGTGCTTGTCTGGCAAGCACAGGGTCCTCAGTTCAATCCCTGGTACTGAAAAAAAAAAAAGTACCAATATACTCAATAAAAAATTCAAAAAGAATAGCATTACCCTTACCTAAACAGTTGATTTCAGTTTCATCAGCTGTTTTTAAAATCCCCAATACATATGATATGATTCCTCTGTGGAGTGTACAGATCTAGTTGGAGTGAGGTGGTCACAGGAAGTCTGCCCTTGGGTGTCTTGAAGATAAACTCTAATACAAGTCTTGCACATTTACTCCCTCTGTGACTCAGTAAAACCTACTCATGAAGGAAATCTTGTCCTTGACTCAGGTCCATTTGTCACAGATCACACCCTCCAACTTTAGGATTACATCAGGCTGAAATTATGGACAAAGCAAATTGTTACGTTAATTCTTTTTAGACATAAAGAGTGGTTATTATTATATTACTCACAGTAATATCACCAGCAGTTTTATACATCCATGGTGATTTCTCCACCTTTCCCTTAGAGGTCTAGAGCCTTATAAAGCCCTTTTCACTTTGAAACAAAAATCATATTTATTGCATATGAAATGCTTTTCCCATGCCGAACATTGTGTTGTATTGTACCCAAGATGAGTAATATCCAGTGTCTACTTCTAGGCAGACAGACTCTTGCTAGGACCACATAACACATGGAACATAACAAAAGCTTACTCAGAATTGAATTTTAAGAATAGATTTGATTTCTATGAAATACTATCTTAGTTATTGGTGAGTTAAAGATTTATAATGCATTACACTGAAATCTTAAGAGCTCTCACTAGGTGGGAGAGAAGGAAGACATTTAAAAATTCTGTTTAGAAAGCTGTTACTGAACTCCTTTTATTTTAACTTCAGAGTCTGATAATCATTGGGGTTACAAAGTTTATTAAGATTTGGTTTTCCCCACGTGATACATAAACAGCTGTCTTCCTTTTACAAAATACACGTTGCTTTTAAGGTTTTATGTCTTTTATTTTTCAAACAGCCCCCTTTGGGCTTTCCAGCTGGGGTAACAAAGGCCCAGAGAGACTAAATGAAGACTGGAACACATTCTTAGCCTAGTCCTTTCTGCATTGTCTTTATGAAATACCGATTAGCTGGAGGAATTATGTAACCTGTGTAATAAGCTATGTGTGCTAGCACAATGGTCCTTATTCGGACCCTTTGAATAAATCTTGTATTTGTCTTTGAGTCACTATGCCTGGACAGAGTGCTAAAGCAAGATCATTTAGTGGTTTAATGATACTGAAGAAATTAGGTATTTTTCTTATATTACTTGGACATACATTTGTTGAGTGCATAATATAGGTTAGACACTGTAATAATTGAAAGTTCCGTTGTTATGCACTTTGTAATTTAATCATGCCTCATTAAAAAAGATTTGGAAGTACAGATAGGTGAGGATTCAGAAAACCCAATTATACTGAGATACCACTTGATTGCCAATATGGCACTGATTGCAAACCCTTGTTATTGTGTTTTTAAGATGAAAGATGTTAATGTATGAGTTGGTTTGATTTTCTAAACTAAAACCTCAGTATTCAGGTTTAATTGCAGTGCTGCCACCGTGTGATAAATATGTAGGTTTTGGGTTGCAGTTTGGGCAGTTGGTCTCTAAAAGGTCTGCCATCACTCATTGGGGTATAGTTTCTTTCCCTACACAATTAGCAATAGGATGTCAAACAGTACATTTTGTGATCAAATAAGACAACAGATTTAGACTAGGAGCTTGAATCTGTTTGGAAATAATACCTGTTTTTCCCTGTTGGTCCCCTATTGAAGCTATCATTCACAGTGAACAAAAGTGATTTATTCAAGTCATTAATATGTAAGCACTTACTACCGAGACTGTGGGAGGTATTCAGTAAAATTGCTTTCTTTTTTTCTTGTTTCTGGATAGTGGTGTGATTTTATATCAGAATGAATATTCCATTTTCACACTGACTTCTTGTAAGCATACATTGAAATAAGCTATTCCATCTTTGACTATTCAGATTTCTAACATGCTGCTATAAAAGGAAAAGCCACATGAGAAGTTATGAAGTTATAAGTAATTGAAAGTAAAAGAAGCTGGTAAGGTGGCACATGCCTGTAATCTCAGCACTTGGGAAGGCTGAGGTGGCAAGATCTATCAGTTCCTGGCCAGCCTAGTTTATGTGGTGAGTGCAGGGCCAGCCTGGCCTACATAGTGAGCCCCTGTCTCATAAAACGAGAGACAGACAGACAGACAGACACAGACACACAGACATACACAGACACACAGACACAGAGACAAAGAGAATGAAAATGAAGAGAACATAAGGGCCAGATGTGGTGGTGCACCCCTGTAATCTCAGCTTTTGGGAGGCTGAGACAGAAGGGTCACCATGAGTTTCAGGCCAGCCTACGCTACATAGTAAGTTCAAGACCAATATAAACTACATAGCAAGATGCTAGCTATCTCACATAACATTAAAAGAGAGAGAGAACCTAAGGAAATGTTAATAGAGTGATAAATGTTATTTGATTTATACTGTCAGAAGCACTGTTCTGCTTTAGGTGTGTTATTCTAGGGAAAGCTGATTTCAGCTGATGGCCAGCTCTGAAAACAGGCATGTTGGAGATATGTAAAAATTTTGAACAATGTTCAATGTCAACTCAGTGGTTTTACCAAGGGTAGAACAGGGAGGAGGGGTTTAATGCTGAGACAGGAATTTATGGTGTGGCAAAGCTGCTGGGAAGTGGGCATGACCTATTAATCACATACCCAGGACACATGCAGAACAGCTCTCAAGCCCTGCACCTGGTACCAATCAGAGAAGGCTCTCTTCAGTTCTTTTGGCATGAGATCAAGTAGGTTCTTGCTAGGATGGCCTAGATCTGACATCTGAATGGAGGATACAAAAGACAGTTGCCATTAACCTCAGGGCCACTTGCATTCTTTCTTCATGGCCTGGTCTGCATTCTGCAGAGCTTATGTCTTTTCTTACCTTTAATAACTTCAGTAAATGTAAAACTTCACTGTCCTTTGTGTGTTTTCTTTCCTAGTTCTTTGTTCAGAACAAGAACCTAGAAAGACCCAAGCTCCAACAACCATGCTATTTTAGGTCATGACCTTACATCTAAG